ACTACTGAGCCAAGTATCTAAAATAGTTATTTCTAAATCAAATGGAAGCTCTAGATTGTCACCGATGCATTTAATGTTGTTAATATCATTTTCACCATTCTTTCACCTCAGGAGTTTCCCTGTGCAACCATGTTTTGTGATATATATATTTAGGTGATGAATGGAGAGAGTGTACTGGTAAAATGTAAGTCAATGATGTGCTCACTATAGTATGGGCTGCTTACTTATGGAGGTTTGAGTATCAAAGATATTTATTTATGAATAAATCTCAGCTCCAGAATAACATCCAGTCTATCCAACGTGGTCATGACTAGAAAAACCTCTACATGTGCTTCTTGGTATTGATTTTCTGAATATCTTCATGGAAATGTTACTCACTGCAGTTAATTTAGACTATTTTTATGAATAAAAGTTAAGCAATAACAGAGTGGAAGGTATTACCGGGAACATGAGTGAAAAATAGTCACGTGTGATTAATTCAGTCGGGGTGATTAAAGCAAAAAAAGTCATCATTTAAAACGGTTCTTCGTGTTCTCCGGAGCCGCTTTTCTGCCTGTTTCCAAAGATGTGAGGGACAGAAACTGAAGGAAAGGAACCAAATGCAGGATTACGGGGCTGCATTTACTGCCTGATGGTTAACAATATTCCCTCATGGACCTGGAAGATAAACAGGGAAAATACTCTTGTTATATAACCAACAATCACTTTAAACAGAGATCTCTTAAAAAAATGCTAATAAGTTACACAAAAGTTCAATGTGATGTTGACAGAGACATTTATATTCCTCAACTTTCCCAGTGGTGGGTTTATTTATTTAAAATATATAATATGTAACATTTCCTCATTAAAATGTCTAATAACGATTACACCTATGGTATTTATAATTTTTCTTTGAGTTGTGAACATCCAATACCTGTTCTTTCACACAAGTGAAAAGCTAGCGTTAGGCTATAAAGGAACTACATCACAGTCACATGATTTAACATCACAGCCAATGAGGAGATGAGTTTCTCCGTGATCACCGTTAGAGAGGCAAAGTCCCGCCCATCTACTTCCGACCCATGGGACCTTATTTCGGGAAAATTATGTATTAAAGTCGATGGAGAGAAAACGTATCTTTCGATCCCGTTTGAATTGTGCCATGAATTACACATATGATGTTTGTCAATCTTAAACAATCATTTCCATGTCAAAAAAGTCACAGTTTGTTGTAAAACTGTTGAAATATAAGACTGAAAAATACGTAACTAGAAAGACTACAAATCCCAGATAAGTTATGACAGGTAAGTGATGTCATAACTGATGTAATTTGTTTACTTACTAAAATGAATACTAATGTATATATACAGGAAGGAGGTGTAATAACCAGGTGGTGCTTTGCTAAAGCTGATTGGGGGAAATTTAGGATATGGTGTGAGGAGTCGGTACACCTGCTAACATCAGAGGGAAGCATAGAGGTCATTACAAGCCAAATAACGCAACATATACTAAATGCAGCAGAGAACAGTATACCCAAAACAACAACCAAGGGTAGGAAGAAAGTGGTGCCATGGTGTAATGAGGAATGCAGCAGGGCTATTAAAGAGCGAAATAATGCATTTAGAGAATTAAAGCAAAACATGACTCAAAATAATGTTCTAGAGTTTCAAAGGAAAAGGGCAGCTGCTCGAAGGACAATAAAATATACAAAAAAAAGAACATGGAGAGAATTGTGTTCTACCATTGGCAGAGTAGTAACATTAGGAAGATGTCTGGTCCATGTTTAAGCGGATGAGTAAGAAAAGGAAATCCATTAAAATTCCAGCTTTGGTTGATGGGGAGAGGCTGGCAGTGACAGATAAAGAGAAGGCAGATATGTTAGGAAGGACACTTGCAGCAGTACATAGTGGGGAGCATCTCAGTGATATTCATAGGCAGCAAAAACAGCAGTTACTAGCAGAGAATGAAAACGTGAAGGAGAAGAGACAGGATAATAGGTCAGCTCTGGATGTGGAATTTACAATGTCAGAACTCAAAATAGCCTTGCAAGGTACAGGATATACAGTCCCAGCACAAGACCAGCTATGTTATGATATGTTTAGAAAGTTACCTATGGAAACTATGAAAATGGTGCTGAGTCTTTTCAATAAAATCTGGAGAGAAGGAGATATGCCAAGTGTGTGGAAAACAGCAATCGTGCTACCATTCAATAAGCCAGGGAAAGATACAGTACAGCTAACCTTAGTAACTATGGACCAATAGCTCTTACTTCACACCTATGTAAATAGATGGAAAAGATCATTGTCCGTAGGCTCTCACATATACTGGAACAGAAAGGGCCGCTGAGTAGTTTTCAGAGCGGATTTCGTAAAGGGCGGTCCACAATAGATGCATTAGTAAGAGTGAGTAACGATCTGAAAAAAACATTGAAAATGAAAGAGATAATGGCAATAGTGTACTTTGACATTCAAAAGGTGTATGACTCTATGTGGAGGGATGGGTTACTGATCAAATTGAGTGGAATGGGTATTGGAGGGAGAATGTACAATTGGGTAGGGCCTTTTTAACTGACAGGACATTTAGAGTAAAGGTTGGAGCAGATATTTCCAATTATTTTGAAATAGAAAATGGTATTCCCAAGGGAGTGCAGTCAGTCCAATATTATTTAACATCATGATTAATGACATATTTACATGCTTAGACACATGCATCCAATCGGCTCTATACGCAGATGATGGGGCTATTTGGATGAGGGGAAGAAATGCCCCATAGGTAATGGAGAATATAGCTAGAGCAGTGTTTCTCAATCGTTTTCATACCAAGGACCACTTAACCAATAAAAAAACACTTGCGGACCACCTGCCTCCACAAATATCCAAAAACACATCATTTTTCTAGAACAGATTACAAATCGCCTGCAAATGGTACAAACAAGTGGAAACATGTGTGATGAAGGTGTTGCGCTGGGCCATATCATGCAATTGAAAGTGAAACTTAAGCTCTTTCCATTGCGGAGATATTCCCGCGAGAGTGCGGAAAACTTAAATGTATTTATTTATTTCAAATGTGAAATGTTACCAATATACTCACGGACCACTAGGGGGCGCTCACGGACCACCAGTGGTCCGCGGACCACACTTTGAGAAGCACTGAGCTGCTAGAGTGATTACAAAAGTGGAGAGGTGGTCATATAACTGGGGATTCAAAATGTCAGAAAGCAAGTCATGCTACATGGTATTTACAAACAAACGCAACATTGATGTCCAACAGCTAACACTATATGATCGTCCAATGACAAAGGTGAATGAGTTCAAATACCTAGGACTGTGGTTTGATAGCAAATATACATGGAAAATGCATATTAATCAAGTGGAAACAAAATGCTAAAAAGTATTACATTTATTGCGAACTGTAGCTGGATGCAACTGGGGTGCAGACAAACAAGCATTAATAGACATTTAAAGATCAATTATGAGGTCCACAATAGACTATGGTTGTATAGTGTATGGAACAGCAGCAAAAACATCGCTTTTAAAAATTGATAGAATACAATATAAAGCATTGCGGCTGTGTATTGGAGCGATAAAGTCATCCCCTATCAATACAGTTCTGATAGAAGCAGGAGAGACACCTCTGGAGATCAGAAGAGAGAAACTTGCTCTGTCATACTGGGTCAGACTACAAGGAAGTGGAGAAGAAAATATTTCAAATAGAATATTACAGGATTGCTGGGAATATGCAAAATTCCAGGGACGTGGGTTTGGCTGGACGAGTAAGGAGAGAACGAGGGCATATGGAGTGGAGAATATCACGTTTGCCAAAGCAACCCCATTTAGCAGTGTTCCCCCATGGCTTTCCCCAGAAGCTAAAATAGATATGAATATTGGAGAAAGGAAAAAAGAGTGGCAAATAAATGAAGTGGGAATTAAAACAAGTATGTATCTGAACGAAAAGTACTACAATTACCTACACATTTATACAGATGGTTCTAAGAACAAGGAAGAGTGTGTTGGCGTTGGCATATACATCCCAGACTTTATATCTATTTTAAAAAGAGAGTCTGATCAATTATCAGTGTATACAGCAGAAATGCTTGCTGTAATAATTGGATTGCAGTGGGTTGAAGAGGTCAGACCAGATAGGGTGGTTATATGTACAGATTCATTTTCCATATTACAAAGCATACAATCAACATCAACTGCCAGAGAAGACATTCTCATAGAACTGAATCATAGCCTGTTAAGACTGCACAGAGGCAGTATAGATCTGCATTTCTGCTGGGTGCCTGCACATGAGGGGGTGAAAGGGAACGAGTGTGCTGATAAATGAGCAAAAAGTGCACTACAAAAGCAAATAACATTACCAGTTCAACTCAAGGAAAAGCAGTCATTAAGAAAAAAGGGATGGAGATCTGGCAGAAAAGGTGGGAGAAAGACCAGAAAGGCAAGGACTATCACAAAGTACAAAGTACAATTACAATTAATATTCATAAAGAAAGAAACAGAAGGGAGGAAGTCATGATGGCTAGACTCAGAATAAATCACACAGCTTTGAATAGTACGCTGTATATCATGGGGAAAAGTGACAGTAACAAGTGTGGGAACTGTGCAGTAAAAGAAGATGTAGAACATATCTTGTTACATTGTGACATCTATAAAGCGGAAAGAGAACAATTAAAGGCTAAAGTTTTAGAGGCAGAGAGGGAATGGAGTGTGGTTGGTGTTTTGGGAACAAAAGGAGAGGGAGTAAGAGCTACCAGAAAGGCACTGCTTAAATTATTGAGTGAAACTGGGGTAGGAAAAATAATTTAACATTAGGTCAGGAAAGAACATAGATTTGTATTTTTGTTTTATTTATTTCATGGTTTTATTGATTGATTGATTTATTTTAATTTTGTTTAGATCATAGGTTAAAGCGTTGGAATGATGTGATGATACATACTCATGTACAGTAGGTGGCGGTATGCACCTTTTTAAGTTGTTTGCAATCCGCCAAAAACAAGAGAAGAAGAAGATATCACCAGTTGTTCGTCCCACATTTTATTCGGTAACGGCGTCTCGTCGCTACGGTTCTCTCTCTCTCTCTGAGAAAGAGTGTGTGAGCTCCAGCACTACAGATCCATCATCTGTGTGTTTGGATAAACCTCTGAATGGACTGTGTGCTCTTTTTTCTGGAGCGTTTACCTCGGACTATAGGAGCTAGCTTAGCATGCTAGCTGGAAACACGTTAGCAACGCCAGTCAGATTGAGAGTTTGATGGAGAGAGAAACGGTGTGTTTCACGGAGCTTGCAGGAAAAAGGTGATCTAGTAAACATGAGTAAAGTCCAAATGCTGCTGTCGTTGAAGAAGCAGCGACTCACTGCTGCTGCTGAAGAGATATTTGCTTTGTTTGAAAAAACGATAGCCGAGTACGAGGAGGAGCTGTCTCTTTCCAAAGAGGAGAACAAGAGACTCCAGAAACTTCTGGACGCTGTTTTACAGCCTCAGCTTCGGATACACAGAGCAGGTCTGTTCCCTTTACCCTTAATTAACACTTTACACTCTTCAGTAGCACTTTATTATCACAGTAATAACACTTTAGACCCTTTATCAGCACTTGCTGCAGGTAGTAGATCCTGAAGTAAAAGTACAAACACCACACTGTGAAAATACTCCATTATTGTTTTGAAAGCCCTAAATGGGCTGGCTCCGGCCTATATAGCTGAACTCCTCCAGCGCTACACCCCAGCCAGAGCTGCTGATAGTGCCCAAGACCAGGCTCAAAACCCGGGCACCGAGCCTTTGCAGCAGCTGGCCCTAGGCTCTGGAACACTCTGACCCTCCACGTGAGGTCGGCCCAGACCCTAGGGGTTTTTAAATCTACTCTTAAAACACACTTATTCTCCCTGGCCTTTTAGTCAGAGCGGAGCACGACTCCTGACTTTTCCCTGTGTTTTTTTATATATCTGTTGTAATTTATTGTCTTTTATTGTGATTGTAGTAATGTGTTTTTATGTGATTGTAGTATTTATTACATGTACAGCACTTTGGCCCGACCAAAAATCGCTTTTAAATGTGCTTTATAAATAAACTTTGATTGGATTTACAAGTTAAAGTACCGTATATAAGTTCAAACCGGAGAGACGTGATGTAAGAATTACATATGTATTGTTTACACGTCATATGAATGAAATGATTGCCATGATAATACAACAGGAGAATGTAATGGTGTTTGGCGATTAGGCCCCGGTTTGCAGGATAATCATTCAGGAAGGAAATAACCGCTCCGATGAAATCCCCGGGGTCTAGACACTGGTGGTGGTGATGAGTAGGTGAGACCGGTCTGAAGGAGGAAGGTTTAGCTTTGTCCTGAAGGAGACAGGAGGCGAGAGGGGTGGAGGCGGGTTGCGTGTGATCATCTGCAATGACAACTGACAGGGAGGAAGAGCAGGCATTTAAGGAATTTAGCATGTGCAGCGATTGGCTGCTGAGGGGTGACACCCTCGTATTTAATGAGGGGGGAAGGGAGCCATAGAGTGACGTGTAAGTGACTCGTGTTAGGTCTTCCTTATTGAACTTGTGCTAAAGCTTTCATTTCAAACCGGAGAGACGTGATGTAAGAATTACATATTTATTGTTTACATGTCATATGAATGAAATGATTGCCATGATAATACAACAGGATAATGTAATGGTGTTTGGCGATTAGGCCCCGGTTTGCAGGATAATCATTCAGGAGGGAAATAACTGCTCCGATGAAATCCCCAAAACCAGTGAAGTATGAAATACTGAGATGAACTGAGTTGCTTACCTTGTGGGGTGACTGGTGATCTGGGAATTAAAGATAATAGATTAACATATGTAAGCGGCATTGGGCCGGAATCACTGCCGGAGCTTACGGGTCATGCTGAGACTCTGACTGCCGAAATCAGTGCCGGTCTTATCTGAAAACGACCTGCGGGTCGCCTGCCTGGCTAGCAGGGCTTGACTACGCCGCCCGAAGGTCGAACGGTTTTGTTTTGTAACTGACACCGAAGTGTACGGTGGCCCAACGTCCACGACACCGAAGTGTACGGTAGCCCGAAGCTACGACACCGAAGTGTACGGTGGCCTTCCGCCACGCCTGACTTCGCAGGATATTTTTTTATTTTTTTATTTTTTACTCTTTTTCTCTTTCTTTATTTTTCTTTTCCTTTGTTTTGTAACTGACACCGAAGTGTACGGTGGCCTTCAGCCACGCCTGACTTCGCAGGATATAGCTTTATCTTTTCCTTCTTTACTCTTTCTTTATTTCCTTTGTTTTGTAACTGACACCGAAGTGTACGGTGGCCTTCTGCCACGCCTGACTTCGCAGGATATATCTTTATCTTTTCCTTCTTTACTCTTTTCCTCTTTCTTTATTGCCTTTGTTTTGTAACTGGCACCGAAGTGTACGGTGGCCCGAAGCCACGACACCGAAGTGTACGGTGGCCCGAGTCCACGCCTGACTTCGCAGGATATACATTTTACACTGACACATTTGAGCAAGGGCATGAGATTTGGATACCTGTGTCCAGGAGATGAAGCCCGTTACGTGTAGGTGCGCGTGAGACGAGACGTTATTCCCTGTGGGCGGGGCCCGCGGACTAGGACGGGAATGCAGTTTGAATATCAGGTACCTTAGTGAGACATGTATACTTATGAATGTGTTTATGAGCCACCACCAGTTATATGCATAGATACCATAGTTAGGGTCTGAGAGATCTTTGGGAAGCCCGTACGGCGCAGATGTCCGGACGAATGAAGGTTGTGAAGGCAGAGGAGGACCACCGTCCTAGTTGTTGTAGGGATGAGGTAGAGAGACCTGATATGCCGGGTGATAGGCCGGATTTAATGAGAACTTGCTTGAGGTAGAAATTGACGGGGCCATGACCCTGCGAACCACTCTCCCTGGAAGAAACCCCCAAAACCCATGGATGGGCGGCATCCGTGAAGAACCTCATTGAGTCAGAGGAACGCACGAGGCCATCGTAAAAGAAAGTAACTCCGTTCCAGTGGGCGAGCAGGAGGGACCAGAACCGAAGGTCTGAGCGGCAGCCTTCGTCTAAGAAAACGCAGTCATGGAGGTTGTCGACCGCTGATGCTGCGTCCAGGAGGCGGGAGATGAACGAGCGCCCCTGGGGGATGACGTGCATGGCGAAGTTGAGGTGTCCGAGAAGGGAGAGCAACTGTTGTTTTGTGATAACTTGTTGCTCGCAGTATGACTTAGTGATGTCCCGGATGCGCTGCAATTTGTCGGAGGGGAGAGACGCCTTCATGTCTATGGAGTCGAGGATGATGCCTAAGAACTCTCAGCGTGTGTAGGGACCTAACGTTTCTCTTTGGAGAGAGGGACACCTCACTCCTGAAGCAGTGTTTAAGCTTGGCCAGTGAGATCCCTGAGCTGTCCTGTGGCGGGTTTATGGGGAGGAAGTCGTCCGGTAGGTGAAGGACGGAGGGGATTCTGACGATGTTCAGCAAGATCCGATAGAGCGCTTCCGATAAGGAATTTAAGATGCGGGGGCTGCTTCTGCACCCGAAGGTCAGGCGAACGGCGAAGATAGAGTTTGGACTCCCACTTAATACCGAACAAGTTCCACTGAGACGGATGAATGGGGATGATTTGAAGGCATCGGTAATGTCCGCTTTGGAGAGCCGAGCTCCGTGCCCTGTGAACTTGATCATCTTTATTGCATTATCCACTGAGGCATGGTGAAGGGAGAACTGATCTGGAGGGATGATGCTATTGACGCCGCAGAATGGGCCGGAGCAGGGAGCGGACAGATCGAAAATCAGCCTTTTATTTACGTGTGGCTATTCCGATGGGATTTGAACGGAACACTGAGAAGGGGGAGGAGCTCAAATGACCGATTATATATCCTTTGAGAAGTTCTTTGTCGATGAGCTGGGAAACTATGTTGGGTTCTTTAGCGGCTGACTGTAAGTTTCTTGCTACGAAAGTCACTGTGGGAGATGGGAGGACCCCTACCCTGAAGCCTTGGGAGAGCCCTGACAGGAGATAGTCAACAAACACGGAATCTGGGTGAGTAGATAGCGCAGCTGCTAGCTGAGGGATGTTGATGGGAGTGGAGGGGTAATATTCCAGAATGTTTTTAGTTATTTAATTTTTGTTTTTTGTTTTTTTGTTGATGTTCCTGGTGCAGAGCCACCGTGACGGCCCGTCCACACGGTGGCGTGCGTTACAGCTTCCAAACGCTTCTGCCCATTCACTTTGAATGGGGTGACGTCACTTTTAGCAGAACTGTATTTTGGGAAGCGACGTGGAGCGTTTGCTGGCGTTGCTCGCTTCAAAAAGTTGAGCAATGTTCAACTTTTGGCGCCTCGGCAGAAGCGTCAGCCAATGAAATCCCGTTTATGCAAATCTACCAGTACAAGCGCTAGCCAATCAGACCGCGTGTATGCTGGGAGAGACTACGCAGGTAATTCCTCATATTCCAAAAATTTGAGGGAAAATTCATTATAGCGGTAGTGAATCACCCGGTGCTGTATGATCAGTCTCTGTTCATCTACCGGGATACAAACCAGAGGAGCGAGGCATGGAGGGAGGTGGCAGAGACAGTGGGTGAAACTGGTAGGTTTTCGCCTGTTTGGGGATTTTATATCCAGTTTACTTCCTTTTAACATTGCTATTGCTTTGTATGTCGGGGGCGGGAGATTCATGTGATTGGTTGTTGCTGCTGTGCGGACCAGTAGCATAGGCAGAAATGTACTTTAGGGTGGGCCTGTAAAAATATAGGGTGGGCCAGATTTTTCTTCTGCGCATCAGAAACTAACCACAATCCCGCCGGTACCGGTGGCAGATTACTTTTAGAATACTTCCTTTCTTCTCTTCTTTTTATCTTTTTTCTTTTTTCTTCTTCTTTCCTCTTCTTTTTATCTTTTCTTTTTCTTCTTTCCTCTTCTTTTTATCTTTTCTTTCTTCTTTCTCTTTAGAATACTTTCTTTTCCATAACAGATGGGTATGTTTTGGTGAACGGGAGACCCGTATTTTACTGTTTTAATGGCTTATGAAGAGCACAAACACAACATTTTAGTGTCATTCTGGACAGCTCTCTCATCTGCACCGCACATAAAAACAAAAACTCACCCAGACTGCATCCTTTGTACTGTCTTAAAACCTTTCCTTGGAAAATTGTATGCATTGTAAGGTGTCCTTGGGTGCTTTGAAAGGCGCCCCTAAATAGAATGCATTATCATTATTATTTATTATCTGAAACAATGTAATAACTTTTAAAACTTTTCCCAGTTACTTGCCCCATGCATTCGGCAGTCAGCAGGCCATTCAGTTAGATTTGATCCCGTTATAAATGTCATCATTCCGACAATAAATAAATTCTACATAAACGTTATCTTCCACGTTTTATCTAAACATCTCCGTTTCTACCTTCCAATATGTTTTGAAAGAGAACTCTCTCTCTCTCTCATCTGCATGCGGGGCGGGGCCTCACGGACACGCTGCATCTCTCGCTCACAGATACGCTGCAGCGC